GACATTATGGTCTGGTTCTGTTTCTCCCTCTGACCTTATTGGACCTTGTGGACAGCATCTGTCAGTCGGTAATTTCTTTTTGTTTTTTTTGTTGTTGTATAAAAATAGTCCTCAAACTGTCATCTTTGATCTAAACTGGTTTCCGGGGGCTTGAGGGCTAAAATATCCTAAAAGTAAAACATAAGGGGGTCTGTTTAATTTAAACAAGCTGCGGCTACGTCAGTGCAGCGTCTCGACATCCTGTATGGTAAAGAGCCCATCTTGTTCTTTATCACTTCTTCAGAAACCCAATAATAATAATGATGTGAACAAAGAGACAAAATGATGAACAAAGTACGAAGTTTTGTTTTAACGTAAGTATTTTTTCGGATCGCGTCCTCGTATCGCGAGGAAAATCTTCCAGTAGTTGCAGACTGGTAACATGGAAAACTCGTATTCCGGGAAGCTGGAATCTCGGAATAATTATGCATTTCTTGGCTAGTGCGACCTATACTCTGGAGCGACTTATAGTCCAGAAAGTACGGTAATTTGTAAAATCTCTCGAGACAAAACATAAAACACGAGTCCAAAAAAACAAACTAATAACAGGCTAACGTCCCGATTACACCATCTGTTGTTGATGAGCCTAGCAAGCCTAACACGTTAGCACTCACAAACCCTGATTCTTTTTTTTTTTTTTTTTAGCTAATTAGTGTCTAGTTTTAAGTACTCGCATTACTTTATTAACATCTTCGAGCAATTCCTTCAAAATTGTTTATTTTATCGAACACAGCAGCACATCCCCGCATCTGGTTTTCCCTGGGAAAAAAAACAAAAAAAAAAACGCCTCAGAGATTTTCAGAGATTTTCTTCAGTTCAGCTCAGCTCAAGGAAGGAGCGCAGACTAAGGGATTCACCAAAAGGGAAGCGGATCAGAAGGCTACACCATCCCCCCCCCCAAAAAAAAAAAAAAAAAAAGTGTTCTGCTGAAGTGTTCACCTGTGTGCTCAGGAGCCAATCGTTTATAAATACGTATTAAACCCAAACAATATTTCTCCCCGTTCGACTACTTTGCATCATCTTGTTGACCCAATTTGTTATCCACTAATCTCTTCACCCTGGTGGAGCATCCGGATCAATTAAACACCACTTCCACATCAATGAGGAAATCCTTCCCTCCATCCCTCACCCCCTCCCTCCCCCCCCCCCCTCTTTTTCTTT